TACAGATGTGTCAGTGAGTACAGATGTGTCAGTGAGTACAGATGTGTTTTTAGGAGAGATTTAAAAGCAGAGACTGAGGTGGCCTGTCGAATGTTGATGGGCAGATTGTTCCAGAGTTTAGGGCCCACGACTGAAAACGCTCGATCTCCTCTGAGCTTCAGCTGTTTTTTGGTACGGCCAAAAGCAGCTGGTCTGATGATCTCAAGGCCCGAGAAGGAGCATAAGGATGAAGAAGGTCAGAGAGGTAGGAGGGTGTGAGGCCGTTAATGCACTTGAATGTCAACAGGAGAATTTTAAAATCAACTCTGACACGCACAGGAAGCCAGTGAAGGGAGGACAGAACCGGAGTAATGTGCTCAAACCTGTGAGTTCCTGTTAGTAGCCGAGCTGCAGCATTTTGTACGAGCTGGAGACGTGAAAGTGAAGCCAGACTGACCCCAGCATAAAGTGAGTTAAAGTAGTCCAGCCGGGTTGTAATAAATGCATGGACTAGTTTTTCAAGGTCGGATCTGGACAGAACGGACTTAAGCTTAGCCATCTGCCTTAGCTGAAAGAAGCTCTTTTGTAGAACAGAGTTGATCTGTTTATTAAACTTAAAGTCCGAGTCTAACACTACCCCGAGATTGGTAACTGACTGCTTTACATGTGGCTGAAGGGAGTGCAGGTTTACAGGATCAGTGGTAGAGCTTGGGTTAAACACAATGACCTCAGTCTTCTGATCATTAAAACTCAAGAAGTTTGCAGCCATCCAAGTCTTGATGTCATCAAGACATTTTAACAAAGGGTGGATGGAGCAGGAACTGTTTGGTTTTAAAGGTAGATAGATCTGAGAGTCATCGGCGTAACAGTGAAACGTGGAGTTACCACTGCATGTTTTAAAACATCGGGGACCACACCTGTAGCCAAACTGCTGTTAATTATGGCAAGAACAGAGGGTCCAGTTGACGGTAGAACCTGTTTAAAAAATGCAGCAGGGATGGGATCAGCAGGGGAGCCTGAGGGTTTCATGTGACCAACGACCTCATTTAAAAATGAGAGTGAGATGGGGTCAAAGTGGCTGAAGACTGCTGAGCAGGGGACAAGAACTGAAGGGTCGGCTGTGGAGTGTGGAATTGATGACCTAATCGACTCAACCTTTCAACAAAATGCCTGACAAACTTATTACAGGTGTCGACAGAGGCCTCAATGGTGGCAGACTGAGGCATGTTTAGAATGGTGTTAATGGAGTTAATGGTGTTAATGGTGTTGAAAAGAATGCGGGGGTTGTGACTGTTTGAGTTGATCATTTTTGAGAAATATTTGTTTCTCTCCTGTTTAGCGGTGGTCTGATAGGCTTTCCAACATGTTTTTAACATCTCAAAAGACACCTGAAGTTTATCTTTTTTCCATCGACGTTCAGCTCTTCTGCACAGGCGTCTTGCCTCTCGTGTCGTCTCATTTACCCAAGGGTGGGGCGTGCGTTTTTGATTCCTGAGCTTTAACGGGGCGACTGAGTCCAGGATCTGTACACACGACTCCTGATGCTGAGAAAGCAACTCCTTTGTAGTAAGACCCGCAGAGAGTTCAGAGTCTGAAACAGAATTACCAGCAAAGATGGAAGAGAAGAGTGTGGCAGTGGAAGGGTTAAAAATCCTACAGGGCTTGGGTGTGGGGGGAGGTGCAGGTTCACAAATCAATGAGGTGTTGAATAAAACTGGTTTGTGGTCGGAACAAACAGTGTCACCAATTTCTAAATCAGAAACAGACAAACCATGTGTTAAGACTAAGTCTAGAGTGTGGCCCTGCTGGTGAGTTGGACCAACAACACTCTGCACAAAGTTAGAGGACTGGATGAGGTCTAGAAAGTCCTGAGCTAATGGTTTATCTGGGCAGCACACGTGGATATTAAAGTCTCCTAAAATCACAACCCGATCATATTGGAGCAGAACACCAGTTAGAAAGTCAGATAGTTCATTTAAAAACTGTTTATGGTATCCGGGGGGGTCTGTAAAAAATAGCACACAGAACTGGGTTGGAGCGGCCCAGCTCACAACAGAGCAGTTCAAAACTCAAATAATTAGCTGAACCATGGAGCTGTCTGCAGTGCAAGTGTTTCTTAAAAACAGCCAATAATCCTCCACCACGACCAGTTGTCCTTGGAGCATTGAAAAAAGAACAATCCGGAGGCAGTAATTCCAGAAAAACACTGAACTCACCAGGGCAGATCCAAGTCTCAGTGATGAAAAGAAAGTCCAGTCGGTTGCAGCAGAAAAAGTCGTTCAAAATAAAAGTTTTATTAGCCAGAGATCTGGCATTTATCAGGGCCATCCTCGTAGAATCCACCACAGGAGGAGGTGGTTGCAGTGTCCAGTCCAGCGGCCTCAGATTTGCAGAGTTAGACGCGCGCCTCCGGCAGGAAACCCAGCCGCGCACGGGCCCAGTGTGATGATGGGACCCCGACAGCGGGATCAGACAGCACGCCACAGGATCTGTACAGCGCCAGGAGCGGAGGTGGAAACGTTGACCATCAGCTGGAGAGGATGATTCAGAGGCAGCAGGCAGGGCTTTAAGCTTCACCAGCCGGCCAGCGCGTTTTCCACGGCGTCTGGAGCGATGTCTCCAGGGAGGCAGGTGCGCGCCTCGCTGCAGGTAAGCAGGCACGTCTGCCAGCAGCGGGGGGATGGGGGG